TGATGCTGCGATGCTGTCATGCTGTCATGCTGTCATGCTGTCATGCTGTGATGCTGTGATGCTGTCATGCTGCGATGCTGTCATGCTGTCATGCTGTCATGCTGTCATGCTGTCATGCTGTGATGCTGTGATGCTGTCATGCTGCGATGCTGTCATGCTGTCATGCTGCGATGCTGTCATGCTGTCATGCTGTCATGCTGTCATGCTGTGATGCTGTCATGCTGTGATGCTGTGATGCTGTCATGCTGTGATGCTGTGATGCTGTGATGCTGCAATGCTGTGATGCTGTGATGCTGCGATGCTGTGATGCTGTGATGCTGTGATGCTGTCATGCTGTGATGCTGTGATGCTGTCATGCTGCGATGCTGTCATGCTGTCATGCTGTCATGCTGTCATGCTGTGATGCTGTGATGCTGTGATGCTGTGATGCTGTGATGCTGTGACGCTGCGATGCTGCGATGCTGCGATGCTGCGATGCTGCGATGCTGCGATGCTGCGATGCTGCGATGCTGCGATGCTGCGATGCTGCGATGCTGCGATGCTGTGATGCTGTCATGCTGTGATGCTGTCATGCTGTGATGCTGTGATGCTGCGATGCTGTGATGCTGCGATGCTGTGATGCTGTGATGCTGTCATGCTGTCATGCTGTGATGCTGTGATGCTGTCATGCTGCGATGCTGTCATGCTGTCATGTTGTCATGCTGTCATGGTGTCATGCTGTGATGCTGTGATGCTGTCATGCTGTGATGCTGTCATGCTGTCATGCTGTGATGCTGTGATGCTGCGATGCTGTGATGCTGTGATGCTGTGATGCTGCGATGCTGTCATGCTGTCATGTTGTCATGCTGTCATGCTGTGATGCTGTGATGCTGTCATGCTGCGATGCTGTCATGCTGTCATGCTGTCATGCTGTGATGCTGTGATGCTGTGATGCTGTGATGCTGTCATGCTGCGATGCTGTCATGCTGTCATGCTGTCATGCTGTCATGCTGCGATGCTGTCATGCTGTCATGCTGTCATGCTGTCATGCTGTGATGCTGTCATGCTGTGATGCTGTGATGCTGTGATGCTGCGATGCTGTGATGCTGTGATGCTGCGATGCTGTGATGCTGTGATGCTGTCATGCTGTCATGCTGTGATGCTGTGATGCTGTCATGCTGCGATGCTGTCATGCTGTCATGCTGTCATGCTGTCATGCTGTGATGCTGTCATGCTGTGATGCTGTGATGCTGCGATGCTGTGATGCTGTGATGCTGTCATGCTGTCATGCTGTCATGCTGTCATGCTGTCATGCTGTGATGCTGTCATGCTGTCATGCTGTCATGCTGTGATGCTGTCATGCTGTGATGCTGTGATGCTGTGATGCTGCGATGCTGTGATGCTGTGATGCTGCGATGCTGTGATGCTGTCATGCTGTCATGCTGTCATGCTGTGATGCTGTGATGCTGTCATGCTGCGATGCTGTCATGCTGTCATGCTGTCATGCTGTCATGCTGTCATGCTGTCATGCTGTCATGCTGTCATGCTGTGATGCTGTGATGCTGTGATGCTGTGATGCTGTGATGCTGTGATGCTGCGATGCGGTGATGCTGTCATGCTGTCATGATGTGTGCGGTGAAGCAAATGAGGGCCGGCTTGCACGGCCCCTTCCTGCTACATGCTCCCTCCCATAGCCCCCGCTCCACCCATGCCATTGCTCTCACTCCGCTGCTCTCTTTTGATCCTGACTTTCATCCCCCCCTCCCACTGCCGCGAGGCTCGACGTGCCATACGGCCATCCCTCACGCCGCGGGTGCACCGCTCTCAACGCTCTTGCTTCCTCCTCTCACCCCTCCTTCCTCTCTTCACACCCTCCTCCCCACTTCCTCCTGTTGCCCCTCCTTCCCCCGCGCCCTCCTGGTCTGGCGGGCAGGAGGGGCTGTACGGGAGGGAGGTGCGGGTGGCGGACAGGGAGATGGTGGAGAGCCGTGCGGGCGACCTGCTGCACCTCGCCGCCAAAGAGGACGTCGCCTTCCTCGTTGTCGGCGACCCCTTCGGGTGCGTGCCACGCACGGGTGCTGCCATGTGTGGGCGCATGGAGTGGTGTGCGTGACGGCATGAGTGGGTGCATGTAGTGATGTGTAGGATGTTAGGTGCCTGTGAGTACACGATTGTTAATGGCATGTGAGGTCCCTCTCTGCTCTCTCGGCACCACCCATGAGGCCCGCTGCGGCAAGCGAGGATAGTGCATCAAGGGCAAGGAGCTGCCCGAGCGGGCACCTCCTTGCACAAGCGCAAGGAGCTGAGGGGTGGATGCAAGGCCTTGCCACTGGGGAAGTGGTCCGCTGGAGCCTTGATTCGGTGCATCAGGTTCACTCACTCACCGCACTCTCCTCGTCTTTACTTCTTCTCATCGTGCACTCCCCCTCCCTCCTTCTCTCCCGCCTGTGCCCCGACTGTGTCCCGCCCCCAGTGCCACGACGCACACGGATCTGATGCTGAGGGCGAGGCAGCAGGGCGTGGCGGTGAGTGTGGTGCACAACGCCTCCGTGCTCAACGCCATCGGCGCCACCGGCCTGCAGCTCTACAGGTGAGCGTGGCATATACTGGCAAGCATAGCAGAGGGTGTGGCAGTGAGTGTGGCAGTGAGTGTGGCAGTGAGTGTGGCAGCGAGTGAGTGCACAACAAGCTTCAGTGCTCATTGCATGTCTCCCCACTCACTTCCTTGTGCCATTCCTGTGTCATGTTCTGTGTCACCTTCTGTGTCGCCCTCTGTGCCACCCTGTTCTCAGCTTCGGCGAGGCGGTGTCCATCCGATGCTGCATCCCGCCACCCTTCTCACCTCTCACCTCCGTGCATCCCACCACCGCCATGCGGTGCTGCTACCACATTCTGCGCTGTGATGGTGTCCTCTTAGGTTCGGCGAGACGGTGTCGATTCCGTTCTTCACGGACACGTGGCAGCCTGACAGCTTCTACGACCGCATCCACGGGAATGCCGCCAGGGACCTCCACACACTCTGCCTGCTCGGTATCCCACCACGCGCTTGCTCTGCCCCTCCTGCCTCCATCCCTCATGCCAGCCTCTCTGCGCCGCGTGAGGGATGCACCGCATGCTGAAGGCCCGAATGGGTGCACAGCATTTCGTTGCTTGCACCTTGTCGTATGGCATCTGGTGATTCGAATGGGTGCCATGGGCCTGAAAGCATGCCTGTGCTTGCACACTTGTGACTCCGCCACCCGGAGGTGCTCATGCTTTGTCTGTCTCTCGTATTGTCTCTCTTCTTCTTGCCTATTCTCTCCATTCCCCCTCGTCATTCCTTGTTGTCATTTCTCCTCATCGTTTCTTCTCGTAATTTATCCGCACCCCATTTATCCCCTCCGCCAGACATCAAGGTGAAGGAGCCATCGCTGGAGGCCATGGCCAGGTGAGGCTGGGGCAGGTGAGGCTGGGGCAGGTGACAAATGATTCTGGGAACAGATAAAACCAGTTGGAAGCTGGGGCTCATAGAAACTGACAGATCCTTGTCGATCATTCCATGGGCGCGTGTCGTTGCATACACCGGGCCGTGTCTCTGTCGCTGCATGCTTCCCCACGAGGACCAGACGTACTTCCCTCTTTTCCCCTGCTCTCCGCTTTCCTCTCACACCCGAGGCTCACCTCACCAGATGCAAAACCAAAGCCATGCTTTCTCCCCCCTCTTCCTCCTCCAAGTACTCTCTCTTGTGAAATGTGCCGCTCGTGGTGGTGGTGGTGGCAGGGGCAGGATAGAGTACGAGCCAGCGCGGTACATGAGTGTGAACACGGCCATCCGGCAGCTGCTGCTCGTGGAGGAGAAGCGCCAGCAGCAAGGTGAGGCGTGCTCACAGGCTGCTGCACTCCTCACCTCTGGTTCGCTGCTGCAGCCCGCCAAGTTTGAAACCAAAAGCAGCTGCCACTACTCCCCCCACCCCACACCTCCCTCACACTCTCAGCAGTCGCCACAACCACCTCTCGTCTCCTCTTCATTCCTCACACCCTTCTTCCCCTCACCCCCCCATTCTCACCGCATCCCTGGCAGTCTGCACACCAGACTCGCTGTGTGTGGGAGTGGCACGGCTGGGTGCCGACTCGCAGTGCATTGTGTTTGGCAGCATGCAGCAGCTCTTAGACGTTGACTTGGGCCCGCCTCTGCACTCGCTGGTGCTCTGCGGCGCACTGCACGAGCTTGAGAGGGACTTCCTCCACGCCTTCAAAGTCACCGATGCCACGCCGAGGATCGTGGAGGGCTCAGAAGGAAGCGACGAGGAGGAGAGCGAGAGGCCCATCTTGTGAGCAGTGCCCAAAGTAGCTAGGTGAAATTGTTTAATTACCCTGGTTTTTAGGGCAAATCTTCTGTACCAGAGCCATTTTCCAGGCTCACGAAGTAGGCCCTCATATAGGATTGGAGACATCAAGACCCCTCACAACAATAGACTTTGGTTTTGTAATACGGACCTCAAGTGCGTATGAGTATGACCCATCATTTGGAGTCGCTTCAGCGATCATGCCTCGATGTCAATTTCGAGTGTCTGCGGGTAAAGGAACATAACGTTCAACAAGGTATCATTTAAAAAGGAAGGTCAAGCCAACCTGAGGGGTCTAGAGGGCAGTGCATGAGGAACGGCAGAGATATCGCTTAACATTGTATTGGTTCGAAAGAGTCGTACTCGGTGTTCCAATGCACTCCCACGAGCAGGGCCCAAAATTGGTTTAGGCCCACCCTGACAAATCAGGGTTCCAAACAGGGCTGACGTTTCAAATTTGGGTACACTGATGGCTCTAGATTTTTTTTTCTTTTACTCTGAGGGTACTTCGGCCAGATTTTGGCCACTCTGATGGCTCAGTCTCCAGGTAACCCTATCCCTGTGGTCACAGGGTTAGCGAGCTATGATCAGAGTTCTGTTTCTACCAATTTTTTCTATTACACATACACTACACTGTCAACAATGCCCGGCCGGGACTTGGAATACACAGGACAGCACAGCACTAAGAATCCTATCCTACTCTGTCGGCTGATCTATGCGAAACATCTCCTCCCCCTCCTCGTCATCCGAGAGGAACGGGTTATCTTCTTCCTCTGAGTAATCTCGGGGCGGCGATTGCTCAATCTCCTGATCCATCTCCTGGTTGTCGTCACGATCATCGTCTGACTCCGCGAATGACCCCTCCTCGCCAGCCGGCTCCCTGGGTTCCTCCTCTTCCTTCTCCGGTTCCTTCTCCTTACGCTTGCGATCGTCAGATGGGAACAGAACGCTCTGCGCGGGGCGAATCTTCTTGAGGCTCTTCCAGGTATCGAGCACCCCAGGCCAGTCCATCTCGTACTGTAGCAGCGAGATCTGCATCAGCTCCGCGAGCCGCGCGTTGCAGAGAGACCCACGGATCCACGACTTGCACTCCACACTGGATAGTGGCAGGACTGCCAGCGCCTGCCACATCAGCATGCTCTCCCCACTATCTGCTCAGTCTCCTTACCCTGCGCAGACAGGCTCCCTGGCAGAGCGTCGTGAGCGTGAGTCTCGTCATGCCTCCCCTGTTCGCACTGTTAGTCGTGCTCGTCATCCTCGTCCTCCACCAGTCCCCGGCACGCGCACTATGGCAATTCCTCCTTCCTCTGTTCCACAGCGTGTTGCTCTGCCATCTCCTCAGGCGTCCTCTCTTCCTGACATTCTTGACCCCGAGTCCGACCTTGCACGTGCTGCTAGTCCTACTGTCACGCGCACCTTGGCTACGCTTGTCACTGTCCTTTGAGTCTGCTGCTGCGACTGCCTTTGGCCACTGAGCTCGTTGACTTTGCTGCTACCTGTCGTCTCGACTACTTCGCGAGTCTTAGTACTAAGTCTGAGTCTGAATGTCCTCCGTACGTAGGGGGTGAGCTTGCCCTTGGCAGTGACGTCCTTGAGGACAGGCAGTTTGAGCTGGAGTGCATCGTGGCTGTTGTACCTCATCTTGCGTCCATGCTGCTTTGCCCTTAGGGAGACCCGGATGCACTAGGCATCCCTACCCCGCGCTCTTACGCAGAGGCGATTACGGGTGAGTACTCCTCTCAGTGGCAGACAGCCATGGACGTAGAGATGGTTTCATGGAACTCCACTGGCACCTACGTCGACGAGGTTCCCCCGCCAGGTCCTCCGCTTGCCTTCAAGGCGCGTTACATTGCTCGAGGCTTCAGTCAGTGACATGGGGTCGACTTCTTCCAGACCTTCTCCCCCACTTCGAAGATGACTACTCTTCGGCTGTTACTGCACGTTGCAGCACAGCGTGACTACGAGCTGCACTCCCTCGACTTCTTCACAGCTTTCTTGCAGGGCAGCCTTCACGAGGTTATCTGGCTACGCCGCCCACCTGGCTTCACCGGGTCTTTTCCTGAGGGTACCGAGTGGAGCCTCCGGCGGCCGGTCTACGGTCTCCGCCAGGCGCCCCGCGAGTGGCATGACACACTGAGGACGACACTTACGGCTCTTAAGTTTGCTCCTTCGACTGCTGATCCGTCACTGTTTCTGCGCACAACTCTTCTGTGCAGCCATTCTACGTCCTCGTGTACGTCGACGACTTGGTCTTTGCTACTGCCGACACTGAGGCGCTGACCCTTGTGAAGGCGGAGCTGCAGAAGAGACACACTTGCACTGACCCGGGTGAGTTGCATAGCTATCTTGGCTTGCAGATCACCCGGGACAGAGCAAGGCGCACCATCATTCTGAATCAGTCACACGTGGTGCAGCAGTTCCTTAAGCGCTTCGGGTTTCGGTTCTCCTCGCCACAGCCTACTCCTTTTCCTACAGGCCACTCGCTCTCAGCTCCACCTTCGGACGAGTCCGTAGAGTCGAGTGGTCCGTATCCAGAGCTTGTGGGCTGCCTCATGTGCCTGATGACGTGCACTCGACCTAACCTCGCTTACCGTCTCAGCATCCTTGCTCGCTTTGTTGCACCTGGGAGACACCGGAAGAAGCACTGGACAGCTGCACAGAGGGTAATGCGTTACTTGTGCAGTACGTCAGGCATGGGGCTTGTGCTTGGAGGACGGGGCTTAGTGGTACTCATAGGTTATTATGACGTTTCTTGGGCTGACGACCACGCGACTCCGCGGTCGTCACAGGGTTAGTATTTCAGTCTCGGCTCTGGTTCTGTCTCGTGGAGGTCCACTCGTTCATCTTCTGTGCTTGGTTCTAGCTGTGAGGCCGAAATCTACGCTGGGTCTATGGCTGCGCAGGAGTTACGCTGGCTGACCTACTTGCTGACTGACTTGGGTGAGCGGCCTTGTTCTCCTCCAATTTTTACGTTGACAACAAGGCCATGATTGCGTTGTGTCGGGAGCAGAGACTGGAGCACAGAACGAAGCACATTGCTCTTTGTTACTTTGCTCGAAAGTTGCAGCAACGTGGTCAGCTTCGCCTTGCTTACGTGGCCTCTCGGGCCAACACTGCTGATGTTTTGACCAAAGCCCTTGGGTCTGGTGATCATCAGCACTTCAGCACTGCTCTAGGCCTTGTGCCTACTCTGCCTCACCTGCTGGTTGCTTGACTTTGCCTTGTACTGTGATCTTTATATATATACCTGCATGCTTGCTCTTGATAGGTTGTGATCACTGTACTGCTTGTGCTTTTATAACTTTGCATGTGAACTGGCCTTGTGGCCACTTGCTTGTGCTCATACTGCGTGGTGATATTGAGATCCACCCTGAGCTTTGCTTTGTCTTGTTCTCTTGCTTGACTGGTCTTGTGACCGTTGGTTGTTCTTGCTATCCCTCACTTTGTCTATGGGGGTGTGTCAAATATGTTTGTATGCTGCAGTGGGGTAGCCTCTACTGAGTACAACACTTTAGGGTTAGACCTAGTACTTGTACTCATCTCATTCTCCTAGTCAATCATTCTTGCCCCTTAGTTCTGACATGACATCCTTGACCCAAAACCCCGACAATCTTCAGTTTGCTGCGGTAGCTAGTCTTGGTATGTGAAACAAAATCACCATGCTTAGCATTCCATCATCGTCGGATGTCAGGCCAACATTGCATTTTAGAATACATAATTTTACCAGTATGTGTTGTCAATTCTCATTCTACATGGTACTCGTGGTGGTAGTTCTAGCTTGTCCTCGACTCCTGGAGGGGGGAAACTGAACAAAAGAAGCCTAAGATGCTGGAGATGGGCCTTGGGATTTGGCCCAAATGACTGGTCGGATTGTGGTGTCATAACATGGCTGTTGGGATCGATAAGCATTTGTCGTTTCAGCTGCATTCAAACTCCATTCGAGCTGGGTCAGGTATCTGGCCTTGGAGTACTGTTCTCGTTAGGACTACATATTCCTGTGGAGTATGAACGAATGCTTCCCTGGGCGCTTGTCGAAGGTGGGGCAAGAGGATTTCTGGCTCCAAAGTAGTACAAGATGTGTAGCCGAAGATAAACGGACCGCTGAATAATGCATGGGAAGAACGAAAACAATGTCGAACAGATTAGACATCATAAATAAGGAGATCACAATTTATTAGTAGTAATGCTGAGTTTTATATTCTCGCTCAAAAAGTGCATTTCGCCCGCGATATACATCTCACCGACAGAGATGCCGCGCGGAATTGTTTGCATTTATGAGCTGATGAGAGCGTCGACGGGTGTTCCGTGAATGATGCTTCACCGCTGCCAATGAGTGGTGATGCACTACATGAGTGCAACCGGGTCACTACGCCGTCACGACCTAATTTTGCGTCTACGAGCAGGAAACATTGCCGATTAGGCAGCAATGCGAATCCAAAGGCGTCGGTGGCATAGCGTACTGGCTGTGCTTTATGTTGTATTTATCACCAACATTACCATGTCACTGAACCAATCGCGTCAAAGGTGTAGAAATTTAGGTGGTTGAGCTGCGAGTTAATCGTGTGCATCAAAATTACAGCCCGAATCGTCCGCCACAGCTAAGCGATGCTAAGGAAATCACTAAGTAGGAGAATAGCAATACGATCTATGCCGCTTCTCTCAAAGTTGTATGTGTTACATTTGCTATGTTACATTGGTTAGCCTAGGTTAGGGGTTAGCAACGTGTACCAACTTTCTACTTAGTTCATTCATTCCATTGTTTCTACTTCTGACATGGTATCATCGTAGGTTAGATCCTAGCATCTAGACCACCTGCCTACCTCACTCCTAGGTCGATCACAAGCCAACCAGCCAGTGCCAGCCAGCCCGCAAGCGCGCCCTAACCAGCCAGCCAGCGCATTATCAGCTCGCGCACAAGCCGCCAACAGTGCACGTCGCCAGCAATGCGCATGCCAGCGCAGGCACACAAGCACGCCACCGCCAGTGCACACGCACGCCCACGCCAGCGCGCGCACGCGCCAGCACCAGCGCCAACGTGCACGCACGCCTGCGCACGTACACACCACTAGCAACGCCCACAGCCAGCAGCACGCGCCACCAGCAGTGCACACCGCCAACGCGCCAGCAGGGCATACCACCACCCTGCTAGTGCTCGCCATCACACACCAGTCCCTCGCTAGCAGCACCTCCTCAAGCGGCTGGCAACAGCAGTACCTCCTCCAGGCACCGTTTCTAAGGTTCCTAGCCTGCCGTTCCTAGCCACGTTCCTAGCCAGCCATTTCCAGCCAGCTGTTCCTAGCCAGCCATTCCTAGCCAACTGTTCCTAGTCCGTCTTTCCTAGTATGATTTTTTTGGTCCGCCGTTCCTAGCCAGTTGTTCCTAGCTCACCGTTCCTAGCTCGCTCCAGTTTGCTCTCGTCATGGCGTCCAACCGAGTTCTGTGTTTCGATGCAGAAGGGCGAACGATAAACTTCAGCACTTGGCGTTCTTCATGCCAAGCTTCACCTCCAGAGCTAGAACCAGGATGGTGTTTAGGGTGACCTGGTGACCCCTCCGCGTCCCACCCTGCTGCCTGCTAAGCCCACTGATGTGGATCAGGAGAAGTTTCCTGCGCGGTGCACGGAGTACACCTGGGCTCCGATAATTTCATTCCCTCCAATTTCAAGACCCTTGTCGTCGCCTATGGCTCCTGGTTGAGAGCGGTTCGGTCCACCCAACAACCCTCCGATACCCTTAACCGAGTACAACCGCTCTCGAAGAGTTCAGAAGAGTCAGAAACCCCTACATCTTTCGTGAGAGTGTTGAAATTGGAGGGAACTTTTTTGTTCCCCCCAATTTCAACCCCAAGGCAAAACGACAAGGACGCTGCTCGGTGCCCACTTTTTGAAATTATCGGAGCCCAGGTGTACTTAGTGTGGGAGTCTCGTGACGCCGCGGCTTGCCTCGCTCTCAGTTGCCTCCTCCCGCCACCCGACTGCGTCCACTTCAGCCAGGTCACGTCTGCGAAGGAGTGCTTTGACGCTATTGTTTCTCGCTATTCCACTCCTTCCTCTGCCACTCTAGGACGCCTGCTCATGCCATTCATCTTCCAAGACCTTCCTGCGGTTCACATTACTACTGACCTAGTCACTTACTTGCGCTCGCTCGACGCTAGCTACATGCTGCCTGTTCCACTGTTGGTGCAACCCTACGGTTTGCACTCGGCTTGTTGTCCGTGTGCGTGCATGCGTGTGTGCATGGAGTGGTATGAGGGCATGAGATAAGATATATTTCATGCCTATAATAGTGTGTGTATGATGGGTCATGATGTCGAGTGTGTGTGTGTCGAGTCAATAGCGAGTCATCGCTAGTCGCGTGTTACGCGGTCATTTTGTGTGTCCCGCGCGGTTTTCTATTTTGTCGTGTGTCGAACGTTCGGCGTGTTGCAGGTGTGTGCAGCAGACCCATCAAGAACTCAATGATGAGTTTGTGGTGAAGAACCAGAGCCTTGGTGTCAAGATTCAAGTGATCGCGAAGCCCGTGAAAAGGGTACACCTCAAGATATTGAAGATAGTTACATTACTTTGTGTAGTGTAACATTTCACTTGGTGTAGGCCCTAGTGAAGGGTAGTTTCGAGACCCTTCGTGGTTGGGGACAGTGTGGCACTGTTCCACATCACTGTACCTCGGCTCTTGGGGTTTGTAGGAGCTGGGAGTCATTCCTAACTCGTAACTCTTCCAAACTCTTCCTATATTGTGTTCTAAGACTATAGTGGCTG